GTATTTAAAACCAAACTGTCTCATCTGAGCGGGGAGGTTGTAAGACTAAATGAGTGTTGTGCTTTATCAATGAGTGTAAAAAAGGAGGGGGCGTGACCATCAAACTTTAATTATAAACCAAATTGTATTTTCATACTTCTGGCAACACTCTGTAGGAATCTGTGTTTTCTCCTGTCATTTCTCTAATCCTTGTTTCCCATACTCTCCAGTTTGTTCTCTTTCTTGTCAGCTCCTGTCCTCAATCCCAGTCACCCCAGGTGTTTGTCATTATGTCTCGTTAGTGTCCCTGTATTTTCAGCATCTCTGTGCTGTTCCTTTGTCTGTGGATTGTCCTCCTTTTTGCTTTGTTTTCCTCTGTGTCTCTTTGTTCACAACCTCCATGTAAGTTCTGCTGTCACATCAGCCTTTTTGTTTCTTGAAATAAATTTCAAGAAGCATTCACACTATAGTGATCCTGTTTTTATTGATTATTCTTCCAACCATGATGATTTCATACATTTTTCAGCATCTAACTCCTCCCGCAGTTTTTGTGCCATTTCAGCAACTCGTATATCAAAACTTTCAGTCCATTCAGGAGAGGGGGTGCTATGAATTTTGGTATTGGTGCAACTTCAGCTTTTTGATATATTTAGCCTTTTCTGTCATTGTTTGCTTTCATTGAAAATTAATTGAACTCATTTTCCATCCTTCATAACATTTAATCTGGCTACACACTTTTACTGCTACTTTCATATTTTGAACCGGTTAAGCTTCTTTCAGCTTCACTGTGTACTACTACTACTACTACTACTACTACTACTACTACTAATAATAATAATAATAATAATAATAATAATAATAATAATAATAATAATAAAAAATAATTGGCTACTTTCAGCTAATTTCAGCTTTTTTTTTTTTTTTTTTTTACTGTTTTGTGCTCCTTTCAGCTTTATTTGGCTAAGTAACATTTTTGTGCTTCTTGTAACTTGTTTCTGCTAATTCCAGCTTGTTATGCTCATTTCAGCTTATTTCTGCTAAATTCAGCTACTTCTGCTATTCCAGCTAATATTTAGCTGTTTTATGCTAATGTCAGCCTTTTCAGCAAATCCTGCATTATTTGCAACCAATTCAACTTTTTTTCAGCCTAATTCAGCAAAATAATTCTTTACCGACTTAATTCTGGCAATTTAAGCTTCTTTCTGCTTGTTCTAGCAACTATTCAGTTGTTTTTTTTTTTTTGTTTTGTTTTGTTTTTTTCCAGATAATTTCAACTTTACTGTGCTAATTTCTGCCTCTTTCAGCGGTAGTGGGCACAACTAAGCTCACTTCATTTTGGAAATGTAAGCTTCTTTCTACATTTCTTTAGCTACTATTCAGCTGTTTTGGGGAAATTTCTGTTTTTTTAAAATATTTTCCACTTCTGCCCTCTTCTGCTAATTTAGGCTCATTATTCCTTTTCAGCTAGATTTATGGATGTTTATTAGATAATGTCAGCTGTTTTTCAGCAGGTTTGTCTGCAAGAAGCATTCACACTGCTTTTCCACAGGATTTTTTAACTATATATATATATATATATATATATATATATATAGCAAGGGGTCTCCCAAAAATCTCCATTCTGAGACTTGACAGCTTGAGTGTCAAAGGAAACAAGTGCTGTTGTTGTGTTTATATAGACCGCAGCAGAAAAGCTACAGTTTCACTCAAAATCAGCTTTGTGTATCAAGGCCTCAGTTTGTACATGTTATAATGTCACTGTGCCACATATGCTTGAGGGACATGTTGTTGACTGACAGAAATATTAGTGGATCTGAATTATGTGTAATATTTTTAACCTCTTCACATGTTTTAAGCAAATTTAGCACTGAGCCATTCAACGTGTCAAGTTGTCAAAAATCAAACATGTCAATATTTTAGTGGGTTGACATATGATTTCTAAAACCTGCAATATAAACAGAGAAGTCACACATAAATGCAAGTGTTTTGCCATAATTATTTAGGGCGTGTTTGTGCTATATGTTTACCTTTGCACTTTCAAATTATCCACAATGCAAAACAAAAATGTACATTGAAAACTGCTCATCCTTTTATAGAGAAATTAAAATACATGTTCAACAAATGTGAAACAACTCTTTGTCTTTTACCTAACGTGCTCTCTGCCATATAAAATATTTAAGCACGCTGGTGTTGTGCATGCACACATTTTCAAGCCTAGTTAGGTCTGTACAAGGTCGATTTATTTCACCTATTTGTTATTTTTGATGAAGCCTACCAACATTATTAAAAAGAAAGCAATCTTGGTTAGAACCTCTGGTATTTCAGACTGAACTTTCATATTCATAAAGCTATGCACGCATAAGATATATGTACATGTGTGACATTCCTGAGGTAAATAAAAATGAGAATTATGCCAACATTATCCCATAGTTATCTATCAGTAGGACAACAATAGCAAAGTTGATTTGCATGACATTTTCGGGCCAAATGTCCCCTTAATATGTAATTTATATGGAAATGAGAGAATATTTGATTATCTATATTTTAAAGGGATACATGATTCTGTGTCAAAGTTAAACACTCGTCACTTTGATGGACATAAACCCATGATATCTTCAGCTGCAAAGAAAAATAAATAAATATATAAACACTTTGAATGAGCTGTATAATTTAAGATACATTATAGACAATATTGTTTATTCATTACGGTATATATTTTTGTTCTTATTTTATGCACATTGTGTCTAGTTAAGTGCAAAAAAAAAAAAAAATTCTGCAAATAATTTGTTCATTCACAATCTACACAACACACATTTTATCCCTACATGTGACCTAGAGTGTTATGTAATATACAAACAAGAACAATGCTTTTGTACATTTTATTAGTTTTGAACCATTTTCAACGTAGTTTATGTGAGTCAAAGTGTGCCAGAAATAAAACTGAAGATTGGTATGATTTAGCAGCCATATATTAATAATAATATTAATAATAATAATAATAATGATGTGTCTGAGTGACTGATTACTTAGAAGGAAAAAAAAAACTGTCATCAAATTTTCTCATCAACAAAACTTATGTTATTTACAGAGACGTGCAGATGTCACAACTTATTCAGTAATCTAGATTAGTACAACTGCTGTAAGTATAAATTAATCGTCACTCCAAGTGATAGTGTGTATTTTCTCAGAATTTTGTAATTTATTAGTATTGTTTATCCCCTTACCATTTAAATACATGTAGTCAATGTATAAATTAGTAAATGTAACAACAGCTACAATTATTTTCCAGTGATCGCTTGAGAATTGTCATTATTATCAGATGACGTCTGCCTTTTCCACACATAACCTGCAAGTTCTCAGCTTAAAGACGCCATGAAGCAACCACCTTACCCGTTTTGGTACTTAGCAAATCTGTAAGGTTGATAGTTGATGTACACTTAATTATATGCTTACACACATCAAGTTGGCATTGGAGAATAAACTGAGAGACAACAACGTTGTTTGTTAAACTTACCCCACTTCACAAAAATACATCGATTTGACCTGATGGCAACCATTGTTCTTGGATCAATGAAGTATCAGTCAACAAACTGTCACCCTCCTATCTATCTTGGCATGTTCAAGATGATATAAATGTGCAAAAAATATATTACATTTGAAGTTTTAATTTAAAGTAATGGGTGATAACATATTGTATAAATTGTTAATCAACATGCAAGAAATCCACCATATTTGAGTCATTGAATGGTTTATTATTACCAAAGCACTAAGCACATTTGTTTATGCAGTTGCCTTTTCTGCCATAGTTTGATGAATAAATACATAAAATTATAAAATAATAAAAACTGTATTTCCCTAACCATTAATTCAACCTTTATTTATACAGGTTAATCCCATTTAGCCTTGGGGACTCATTTACAAGAGAGGCCTGAGCTATTTTGTGGCCCTTCATTTCTTCACTTTAAGGTTATTTAATGATAATATGAATCACTAGTGTAGTAAACTTCAGATAAAAATAGTGTTCATGTCTGCAAGGCTGGAGTCTAGCTAGAATCCTTATGTGTATTGTAGTCAGGCCAAGTCTCTCCAACCAACTATGTGGTCTCTATGCGCTTATTACCTCCCGAAGGGAAAATTAGCCATGTGTGTAATTTTGCAAACTAAAAGATACACTGCATTATATCACTGCATACATCAATTCACACTGGCATTCATCTAATGTAATTGCATTAGAAAAAAAAAAGAAACCTGTTAGTAACAATGAAAAGAAATTATCAAGAGAGCCTAAGTGCAAGCTCTTGTTACATTTTTGTTTTGATAAAGCATTTATCTACGTAGCTTACAGCTACAAAAGGATTAATATGGTATGCATTCATGCAAACATGTGGATTGTAAATGGATTATCTGCTCCGTGTTCAACTTATTGAGATATTTGTATATTTGTGCTTGGGTGTCACATCTGATCTTGTCTTAACTCTGTAAACAGATTATCTGGTGCGCACATGAAGTCAACACACAATCATGTGGGCTGATTTCATTGGAGCCACACCTCTTGCCCACGTCGGGGAATCTCTAAAATATAGATCAAAAGACTGAATTTCTGTCAGGCATAACTAACCTTTTGATGGAAGGCTTAAAATGCTTCCTTTGAACTGCTCGAGTTTTTTAATTAAAGGGCAACACGCAAAACACACAAAATATCCAAAGCATAAATTCTCTGTCAAGCTGAGAATTATGACCTCCCTGAGGTGGTATGAAAATCCAGGATAACAAGAATAACTCTTTGTGTGTTTGTCTCTCAAAGCTGGGTACATATGCAAACAATTGTGCATAAGATAAAATCCCCTTGTTGATTTTCATACGCTATTGTGTGCATTGACAATGTATGCCATTGCATGTTGTGTTACACTGTATGTAAAAATAAAATAAAATCTGCACAGAGAAGTGTGTTTAAATGTAATATAATAAAAATAGAAAAAAGCAGCTCTGAAGACATTGCATTGTTAGGAACGTAATCCTACCTTGTCGGACATCTCTGGGTGCTATGGCGATTGCATCGTTGGAATGAAGTTCAGTCACGCAGCAGTCATCAGGAACCAGTGAACCATTGCTGAAACTATGTGGTGTCTCTGGGAGTAATGGAATAGGTGGTGCCATAATGTTGTGATTTGGGCAAATACATCCTGTTTGGGTCATCCCGCAACCATCCCCGTCAGAAACCTCCCAGTCGCCATTGTGTTCTGTCCGCAAACACTCCTCAAACCACCGGCAGAGCACACCACATGTGAACTGACTGGAGTTCTCGTTATTTATGAGTAACACCTCAACAAGCCTCTGCTCCAACAATTCCTTGGTTACCTGAGGTTCATCTGCAGCAGGATGTCTTGTTAGACACAGCTGAACAAAGTTTTTGTCAAACTGAAGAAAGGAGTATGGTCTGTCTGAGTTGGAGTGGCTGCCACACAGATCAATGACTTCCTGATCTCTGGCTGTGCCTGTTTGTAAATGAAGGGAGCAACTTTGATTGGCCTGGTGATGGTCAAGGGAAAGGAGCATGGGGGAGTGTGTCTGGCAGATGACAGGATGACGAGAGAAACGGAGGTAGAGGGAGTACTTTGTGGGATCTGGATTTTCCAGGGACCACGAACAACCAGGTGCTCTGGTGGGAAAGAGCTCTTTTAGGGAGAAAGAGCCATAGAGCACCCCTGCTACAAGGCTGGAGCATGGAGAAGAGATGGGTGAGGGGCCCGTGTCTGCCCTAGTGCTGAGAATGCTATCAGCAGCCCCATGGGCAGCCTCAGCTAGGGCAGAGAGAGGAGCTGTAGCGAGGGCAGACAGAGCAGCCAGGGCCCCAGCCAGAGCCAGGAGGAAGGACAGCACAGACAGACACACCCCACCAGCAGTGTTCATCCTATGACATTCGTCCTGCAGAAAGAGAAGACAAAACAAAAGATGATGTGGTCAGATTGGTATGAGCATTGAACATATTTGGAAGCATCTTTAAATAACCTCAACAGAATCAGCATGACTCAAACAAAAGAAAGTCTTCATTATACTATCCCAGTCAATACTGAGGAATCTAGCCTGGTAGGGGTATGTTTTTATAATGTGTTCTGTATTGCCTCAGAGGATAACAAAACCAACTTTGTGACAGCAGTTCTCCTGAAGTTCTTCAAATGCACAGACACACACAAGAACTGTCAAAAACACAAACACATCCCTGCTGGGCTGGATTAAAAGGGTTGATGACTTGGCTGTTGAGACATGCACTGTGGGGCCTGCTCTACCCTTCCCTGCTGATATGTGCACGCAAACACACACAGCATCCTGCTGAGCAGCTCCCCTAAGGTTCTGGCAAACTATTACCATCACTGACACAGCAAGGGTCCGCCAACAGCCTGATTTTGACTCACAAAGCACACACACACATTAACTACTGACAGAAATAAAGAAAACTCCATATACAATATTTTGCTTGAAACTACTTCAGTAGTCACTGTGTCTGGTGGATCGCATGAGACTTCCAAGTGGCTCAGCAAAAAAACGTTTTCAGGATGTCGTGTGGGAAATGGGAAATGTTTGCCTTTATGCACCAATAACTTTTTAGAATGACAGCCAAGGTATTTTTTTTAGAATGACTAGTCTTTGAAATTCGACTCGGGTATTTTTTTGCACAGGTTTGGGAAATCTTAATTGCAAAGGAATATGTTTTTAAAACAAGATAAATTATTTTTTGAGCTATTTTCCTCATCTGGTACAATCATATGTTCAAACACATCCATATACAGATAGCCAATCCTGCATTAATTAATGGGGTTTCCTAAAACATACAAGTCAAACAAATTAAGGATAATTCATGTCTAATTTTGAGGTATTATTCAGGTCTGAAGAACTTAAATGAAGAATATTTTTGTTTGAGAGGTAAAAGCACTTATCTATCATAGGAGAGCACTGAACACTTATGTCTGTCTATCTATCTATATATATATATATATATATATAGATATATATATATATATATATATATATATATATATATCTATATATATATCTATATATATATATATGTGTGTGTGTGTGTTTCATTATGTTGAAACATTTCGTCTTTCATACAAAATACTTTATCAGTCTGAGGAGCTGCAACAAATTCAGTCTTAATAATAGCATCTTCACCTAGTGGGTCAACCAGTTAGATGATGCTAAGATGGTTTCTGGAGTCTACCCTCTTCCTCGCCAACTTGTTTCAGGCGGTCATGGCCAAGTGGTTCAAAACATCCTGATTCATGCTCAATAATCTGGACTCATGAAGTCTTTTGGATGAAAGATGAAATGTTTCAACAAAAATAAACCATCCAGAGGATTTGACTTAACATTGTTGGATTTTTGTACCTGAATTGTTGAGTATGAATCAAGATATGTGCCCTGATGTTCGAGCAATTTGAAATCTGAATCCAAATGTGTACTCATTTTTAAACATAACTAGAAAACAAACTTTTTTTTCCCTGAAACATTTTGTACCAATCATTATTTTCTGAACCTAAAAGCTGTTTTAGTGAGACGTTGTGCCAAAAATCCTTTCCCATGACTCTTGACATCTGCTTCAAATATTTATGACTTGTTTGTAGCATAAAATTGGGCACCAAGGTTATCAAATGTGTAATCCTGGCAAAGAGACCCATTCAAGGAAGGACATTTGTAGCTTACAACAACTGACTCAAGGTCCAGATTGATGAAATACGGTGTGCTTTCTGGCTTGTGTACAACTCTACAATGGATCTTCAGCATTTCATGCGTGGTACACAAGGTCTAGAAAAATGCATCACCATATCTAGAGGTGATATCATAGGGATGAACATTTTAAAAGGTACTTTGCTTTCATTGTAGGTGGACTAAATTGGAGCTAAAAGTGCATGAAAGGCAAATGGGTGATATGTAATAAAGCTGGAGTGATGAGTGGGGAGAGTTTGAAGAAAGAAGTCGTTAAAAGCATAATTATACATGAACTATGAAAATTTGTAGATGATTTGCATCACTCACCATGACAAATTATTAATCTCTTTTGGGTTTTATGTTTTCTTATGACCCATAGAAATGTACA